AGAGAGAGAGAGAGAGAGAGAGAGAGAGAGAGAGAGAGAGAGAGAGAGAGAGAGAGAGAGAAGTTTTTGAGTTTCAAACACAGAGATAACATCACAGCGAGAATTCTTCATAGATTTTAAACTTACAGTGTGTCCATAAGCAATCGACTTCCCTTTGTAGGCAACAAATTTGGATTTCTCCTCGGGACCGTAGAAGTTCATCTTGTCCTCGGGGCCAAATTCTACACTCTCGATTTTTCCCTTTTTCTGTGATGACTGTTTGAGGTTCAACTCTATTGGACATTTTTTGTTCCTCTTTTGAGTAATGAGGGTTCCTCTGGTGAGTCACAAGACTCATCTTCAAAGGTTTCCTCCGGTGAGTCACAAGACTCATCTTCGAATAGTTGATGGTCTGAGCCCTACGACGACTCAATGTCTACAGGTTCATCAGTTTGTGGTGTTTTTCTAAACCAATGACTTCTTCGAGGCATAGAGGAAGACAAAGAGGGTTTGGTTTTGGCCATGAGAGGAAATAGGGTTCTTTGTACAAGTGAGTGATATGAACAAGAATTGGGGGTCAAATAAGGAGATGAAGTGGTGATGAAGGGTTGCCTCGATTCGGAAGAGACGTGTCAAAGGCAACTGAAAAGTTTCTTTCTGAAGACGCACCGTCAATAACAATTAATGCACGCACAGGGTAATCATATCTGATAAGTTTGTATTTTTTCCAACTTCTCTTACGCCTTTTAATAGAGTTATGCCCCAGTTGATGTGATTAATAGACTAATTATGTTTTGACTAATATAATTGCAAGTTGTGGATTTGGGTGAGAATTAAGAGATTGAAAATCATCAAATACCTACAAGGAAAACATCAAATTCAGGCCAAAATTGAAGAAGAAAGATATATAAGAAAAATTCCATCCTGCGTGGGCCTCGCAAGTCACCCACGCAGGTCACCCATGCAGTTAGAGAACTTGGAGGCTGAACGTCTAACTTTTGAAAGTTTCCACGCATCTTGCTGGCCATGCATAGGGTTGCTCAAAATCGAATCGTAACCGTTAACTAAATTGCAAAATTAGCTAATTGGCTTATTGGTATCGGGTTATCGTGGTAATGGTTGGTGAACGGATTAAAATTTTATAATTAACGGCTTAACGGTTTGGGGGCGGATTACTTAATTTTCTTATTGGATAAATCGTTAACCAGTTAAGAACCTATACATTTATACTTTTACCCCTATATATATAAATTACTATTTGAAACCCTAAATCCCTAATCTCTCAATTCAATCAACACTAGCAGCACCGCAGTTCAACAATATAGATATCATCTATTTCCCTTACTCGGTATCTGATAGTTCAACAATGTTGATATCATCAGTTTCCCTGCACATAGACTCAATAGTTACTGCTTCCACTTTGATTAGCAATTTAGCATCATTTAGATTTTAGAATATCACCATCACTATGCATATTTTGCTGTGTTAGCATCACTATCACAATTGTATTGGATATTGCATGTCACAACACATGAATTAGAAAGTATATATATAAATCAATTTAGACCTAAATTTTTCTTTATCTCTAGTTCTCTACTTTTTTTATTGCCTATTCGATTTAGCCGATAACCCGCCCGATAACCGCTCGATAATCGCTAATCCGATACCAATCTGTCCGATGTCTTATTGGTTGGCTAGCGGATTCCTATATTTATAAACTGATAACCGATAAGCCAAATCGTTAAGTGTAAATATTCGTTCGATCCGCCCGATATATAAGCACCCCTACCCACGCATCTTGGCCACACACTGAGAGCTGAAGAAATGGAGTACTAGGCCACGCGTCCTGCGTGGGCCATGCAACTTGTCCACGCAAGACCCGACGAGGATAACTTTGTCAGCTTTTTAGAAGAGTATAAATAGTACATTTTAGGTCTTTTTAGACAACTTTGGACAGAGAGGAATATTATACGAGAGGTTGTGAGTTTTCCTAAGGGTTAACAAGTGACATCACATTTTTTCAATCTTCTTCTTCTCTATACGAATCAATGACTGGATTAAAGGATAATTTGATTATCTCTTCTATTGTCATGTCTAGCTAAATTCATTATCTAGGGTTGTAAATCCAGAGTGTTGTTATGACTATGGGTCATTAATATAGATTCGTCTTGATTAAATATTGTGTTATCTAATTGCTCCATACTTTCTTGTATGATTTGGTTGGTTGCAAACACTAGATTAACGCCTATCACACTTGGTTCTAACTTAAAAAAGTAGAACCGAGTTTAGGTATTAAGAAATTAGCAAGGAATTGGGTAGATTAAGGAATTAATCACATCTCAATTATTGGAATCAAACTAGGAATATGGAGATTCTTACTTGGGCATTAATAATTGTATTGCATAGAGCTCTAAATAGCATAGGAAGGCATTTGTGAGTAAAAACCTCTAAGTTTTGGAAAATACTACTCTCTCCATTCGAATTTATGTGAACCTGTTTGACTGGCACGGAGTTTAAGAAAAAATAAGGACTTTTGGAATTTGTGGTCCTAAACAAGTTAGAAAGGGGTCTAGAGTATTTGTATGGTTATAAAAGCTTCTCATCAAGGACAGAATTGGAAGTTTAAGCTAAATTATTTCCAAATTTGAAAGGGATCATTCTTTTTGGAATGGACCAAAAAAAATAGGTTCACATAAACTTGAATGGAGGGAGTAAGTTGGTATTTTTGATATTGTTGTCATAACACATGCTTGATTGATTGGAATCGAATATATCTATACCCATAGCATAGCATACACGAAGGAGGAGCAACCTTAGTGCTTTCTCTCATTGAGTACTACTTTCTAATTATTTTCGCCATTCTAAGTGTTTGATTAAATTTTGTAATCATAATTTTTAGAAGTAATTGCAGAAAATCAATCTTTTATTTGACGTTTAAGTTCATTGAGTTCACGCACTCTTTGACATTCTAGCCCATACCATTTTCCTTGTGGGATTGACCCTAATCTTGTTGGGTTTATTATTGCAATCGACCGTATTACTTTCAATTTGAGAGTAGAATTGGACGTGACCAATTTTTGGTGCCCTTGTCAGGGAGTACGGTGTTCTTGTGTTACCGTGTTATTGTGTGTCTATTCGAGTTCTTATCTTTTCTTCGTTGTTACTTTGATCCGTTTGCTTTTAGTGTTGATTGTGATGGCGGAATATGATTTGGCGCTTTGCCTTTAGGTCCTATCGAGGAAGCACTCTGTGCACCCCGAGCAGCAAATCGAATCCAATGGAACAAACAAGTTCTACCACTTCAACAACAAGTTCCACAGGCACCTAGAGCATAACAAGATCCACCAAAAGCGTGCAAGATCGAGGATATGCTAGTGCGATTGTACCACCAACGATATGAGGTGGGAGGGGGGGGGGAGGGGGTACCTTCACAATCACTAGTGTGATGATTAACATGCTTTAAGATAGAGGATATTTCACAGGAGACCCCAATCAAAATACCAACAAATATCTCAAGCACTTCATCATTGTGTGCCAAAGAACAAGAAACTAAATGTCTCGGATGAAGCAGTACAATTGAGGTTATTTTCGTTCTCATTGAGAGAGAAAGCTTTAGATTAGTTGGAGAGATTGCCAAATCATTCAATTCACTCATGGGACGAACTTGTGAAGAAGTTCTTGGGAAAATATCTTTCACCGGGGAGAATGGACATATTGAGAGATGAAATTTTGGGATTTAGACAACATCCCACAGAGGCATTACATGAAATATGGGAGAGATATCATGAAATGGTTAAGGAATGTCTGAACAACGACATGACTGATAATATGCTTCTACAATCATTCTACCGCGGTCTTAATACCACCAATCAGACCGATGTAAACCAATTGGATGGGAAATATATAATGAACAAGACGTATCAAGAAGCTGAAGATATTGGATGAAATGACCGACACATCGGCCGCTTGGCAATCTAGAGCCAATGTGCCCCAAGGGAATCCATCTGTAGTAAACTTGACTAAGAAAATGGAAACTCAAGGAGAACAAATTGCAGAATTGACAACAACCTTGAAGCTGCTAGCCAGGAACAAAATGCCAAAGCAAGTTAATGCTATGGACAATGTTCAAGTTTCGGGATTTAATCAAACATCAATGGGTAACCAATTTCAGGGTCAAAAGGGCATTTATTTTGCCCAGGTATCAAATTAAGATGGTGAATTTCAAGAAAAACGTTATCAAGTGCATACCGAGGAAGCTCAATATGTAAGTAACTATCAAGGAGGTCAACAAAGGGCTAACAACCAAAGGCAATGGAGACATGGCAACCAATGGCAAAGAGGTAGTTCAAATTGGTTGAACCAAGGCAATCAAGGTTGGAATGACAACAATCAAGGAAATCGCAATAGGGGACCTTCTCAGAACTATAACTAATCAAGGCGCTACAATAGTCAGGGGCAATCTTCTGGTGATCCTGAACTCAGAGGTTTGATGGGGAGAAAGATAAAAAATCAAGAGCAGTCCGACCAAGAAAGGAGAGAAATGAATCCGGTGGTCAGTTCTCATACCATATCAATCAAGCAGATTGAGTCTCAACTGGTTAGATTTCCTCTCAACTAAATATGAGGCCACGTGGAGCATTTCCAAGTGATACTATTGCTAATCCCAAGGGAAACAAGGGTATATGTCACATCTTTGCCATTTCCACTAGAAGTGGTAAGGTCCTTAAAGGAAGAACTATTATGATCAAAGATGATGAAGTGGAAGAGATAACATTTCCTAAAGTTGCTGACCCTCCTAAAGTCAATGTACCGGTAGTAGAACCAAATGTGGTTGAAGAGATGCAACAAGCACCTAGTTCTCTTCAAGATGTGATTGATATACCTCCCAAACGAAATGAATAATCAAAGAAACAACTAAGGAGGGTCCTATGTCCTACAAGAAGCTACCTAGACCACCTTCTCCTTATCCGCAGAGGTTTGCCAAACAACAGAAAGAGGGATAGTTGTAGAAATTCTATGACATGCTGAACCAGATCATTGTTACTGTGCCTTTTGTGGAGGCACTCGAGAAAATTCCAGGGTATGCCAAGTTCATGAAAGACTTGGTCACCAAGAAGAAAAATGTCAACTTTGAGACAGTCAAAGTGACACATCAGTGCAGCGTAATCATTTCACAGGCCGGAGTGAAAAAGATGGAGGATCCGGGGGCATTCGCTATCCCTTGTACTATTGGTGTAACAAGCTTCGCTAAGGCATTGTGTGACTTGGGGGCAAGTATTAATCTAATGCTTTTGATGTGTTCAAGAAACTGGGTTTGGATGATACAAGGCCTACCTCTATGAAGCTTCTTATGGCGGATCGAACTCTGAAGAAGTCGTTGGGGGGGGGGGGTCATTTGTGACATTCTTGTCAGTGTGGGTTATTTTTACTTTCCAGCCGACTTTTTGATATTGTACTGCGAAGTGGATAGAGAGGTCCGCATCATACTTGTTAGACCATTTTTGGCTACGGAGCGGGCCATTTGTGATGTGGAAGCGGGAGAACTGAAGTTCTGCTTGAATGATGAAGAAGAAATCTTCCATATCCAGAAGTCAATAAAGCAATCACATGGCTATGGAGTGATCTCTGTGATTGATATCGTAGATGAAATAATAGATAAGGACATGCAGGAAATGTGTCATGATGAATCCTTGAGAACGGTTGTCACGACCTAAAATCCAACTAGTCGTGATGGCACCTAACCCAAACCCGCTAGGTAAGCCATTTAACAACTATCCTATTCCAATAAACTCAATAAGATATTTAAGTAAAAGAAAATATCTGAATCTTATACGTTCCCCAAGGAATGGTAGTACAAATCATGAGCTTCTAAGAATAGAATTTACAAAGATGGTATGAAATAAATACATTATCTATTCGAAATATACATAAATAGATTTTTATGAATCTAAGGCTACCATGAACAAGAGGCAGCTACTACCGGAATACAGGTACGTCTTCAATTCCAGCTCCAGTCAATCATAGCAACATCAGCAACCAACATCTGCACGCAAGGTGTAGAAGTGTAGTATAAGTACAACCGATCCCATGTACTCAATAAGTAACAAACCTAACTTAGGTTAAAAGTAGTGACGAGCTGGAATAAAGGTCGGGTCCAACACCAATAGCCATCAACAGTTCATAACACGTAAAGCAAGTAATAGAGAAGTAACTCAGAGATAAAATGTTCAGCTTATTCATAGTTTCTGAAAATAGTTTCGCTTTTCAAATATATCAGCGAAAACCCAAGTCTTTTGCCGAAATTGCCAAAAATGTGAGTAAGTTTGAAAACTGAAATTTTTCCCAAAAGCTTTCAACAGGTAAATCTTTCATTTTCAAATGGCATGAGGAAAAATACATATCTATGCCTACATGTCATTGTATGTATGCAAACTGTAATACCATGCAGTGATAAAACCATATGCATACTCTTAGAATATCAATTCACTCAGTCCTCCCAGTCACTCAGTCATCCCAGCCACTCAGTCCTCTCAGTCACTCAATCCTCACAGCCACTCAATCCTCCCAATCACTCGGCTCTCGCACTCAGTAGGTATCTGCGCTCACTGGGGTGTGTACAGACTCCGGAGGGGCTCCTTCAAAACAATCCAATCACGGCATAAATCAGTAAAATATGCTGCGGCGTGCAGCCCGCTCCCATTATAAATCAGTGAAAACATGCTGCGGCGTGCAACCAATCCCATAAACATCCTCACCATTAGGCCCTCGGCCTCACTCAGTCATCAGTCTCTCCAGTCTCTCGATCTCTCAATGTCATGAAAAATCAGCCCAAAAATAATGATGTGATGTGCCAATAAATGGTAACAGAGACTGAGATATGATATGCATATGAATGCGTATGACTGAGTATGTAATGTAATGAAAGCAGAATAGCTCAACATCAGAAATGACCTCAGTATCCCCAACAAGTTAAGCATGTAGCCTAGACATGAATTCTAACATGGATCACAGCTCAATAGCTCAAGTAGGTAGAAATTTCATGGTTATAGATAAGATAAGGTAACTACACAGTAACACAGGAATAACTAAGTCACAATTCACATGGCGCACGCCCACACCCCCGTCACCTAGCATGTGCGTCACCTCAAAACCAAACATATAACACGTAATTCGGGGCTTCATACCCTTAACACCAAGTTTAGAAGTGTTACTCACCTCGAACAAGCCAAATCTAATACCGAGCAAGCCAAATAATGCTCTCAAATGCCATGACGCGCATACCGACCTCCGAACGGCTCGAAACTAGCCAAAAGAAACTCAAATACATCAAATAATGCCAAAGGGAACAAACCCAATCAATAAAGGTCGAATCTTTAATCAAAATCCCAAAACCGACCAAAAAGATAAACCAGCGCCCGCGCCTCGTAACCCGATAAAACATACAAAATCTGAAACCCATTCAATTACGAGTCACCATACTAATTTCACCCAAATCCGACTCTGAATCGATGTTCAAAACTCGAAAATTCACTTTATGAAATTTTAGACAAAAACCCCCAAATTTTACTTTGAAATCATCAATCAAATGCCAAAAATGAAGATGGGTTCATGAAAAATAACTAAAACCGAGTAAAGAACACTTACCCCAATCTATGTGGTGAAAATCGCCTCCAAAATTCCCCAAATTCGAGCTCCCCTACTCAAAATATGACCAAATAAACAAACCCTTGATATTATATATTCTTCTGCCAGCTGTTCTGCCTCATTTTTCATGCCAAATGATCCCGAAACTCGCTTTTGATGCCTCCAATAAATTCTTGTGAAATTCAGTCAAGTTAGGCTTTTTAATCACTCCATTTGACTTTATAATGAAGAAGATATGTTGGTTTCAATATTTGAAAATAGTGCAGATTTTTAAATACGAAGTCAGACAATTTCATAATTACTCTGAAAAATTTGGTAACCCAATTCTTAGTAAAATGACCATAAACTCCTCATACGATGTCTAAATTTGACGAGTCTTTTTGCTATGACTCCCAAATTATGATACAGATCTAATGCTTCAATAAAAACAGAAATTGGAGCTCATTTGATTAATGTGGTACCAGAAGAAACGATGTCGAAACATAAAAAACGAGCGCAACACAACCCAAACCTATCCGAGCTGGACCCCGTCCGAACATACCAAAAAGTCCCATAAAATAATACGGACCTACTCGAGGCCTCAAATTATGCATAACAACATTGAAACGACGAATCACACCTCAAATCAAACTTAAATGAACCTTGACCTTTCAACTTCCAAAACTCGCGCCGAAATATATTAAATCAGCCCGGAATGAAACCAAATTTTGCACACAAGTCCCAAATGATAAAAGCTATTCCGATTCCCGGAACCACAATCCGAATCCGTTATCCACAAGTCAACTCTCGGTCAAACTTATGAACTTTTCAAACCTTCAAATTTCCAATTTTCGCCAATTTGTGTCGAAACCTTCTAGAAATATCCAAATGCAAATATGGGCATACGACCGAGTCCAAAATCACCATCCGTACCTAATGGAACCATCAAATCTCCAATCCAAGGTCAAATGCTAAAAAGTCCAACTTGGTCAACTCTTCCAACTTAAAGCTTCAATCATGAAGTTCATTCTTCCAAATCAAATTCGAATAACCTGAAAACAAAAACCGACGATTCACACAAGTCATAATATATCACGCAAAGCTGCTCAAGACTTCAAATAGCTGAACAGAATGTAAATTCTTGAAACGATCGGTCGGGTCGTTACAACGGTTCTCCTAAATTCAAATAATTACCCCATGGACAAGCTGCGATTCCAATCATATGAGAAGGAATCATTGTAAAAGCGGAGGAATAAATACCTCTACCACAGGAAAATCAAGAAGAAAGAGTTTTACCCGAGGGATATTGTTCTTCTTTATAATTCAAGGTTCAAATTATTGCGAGAAAAGCCTAAATCGAAATGGTGCGGATCATTCAAAGTTGTTAATGTATGCCCCTTTGGTTTTATAGATTTGGAAACTGAAGATGGTAATAGAATACTCAAGGTGAATGGGCAAAGATTTCAACACTATTTTGGTGAATTTGATAGAGAAAAAGTAGTCTAAGGAGTTGAGTTGGGGGAAACCCAGTGGAACCGTGAAGTTGGTTGTTGTTGCATCGTGCCCCGACGTTAAATAAGGCGCTTTTTGGGAGATAACCCAAGTTCTCTACTTTAATTCGTTCATCTTTTTTTATTTAGTAAATTAGCATTACTTTTATCTGTTACTTTGATGTATTTTGGTGTTATAATTTGAGTAGGTTGGTATTTGAAGAGGAGAGCTAAATTTATTGGTGATAAATGGGGGGAAGTCTGAGTACCCACCATATTGTTGGTGACAGCATCACGCTTGGGTTGAGGGAGTTATCTTTACCAGTCCCCTTACTCTTATTTTGATTGCATTGAGGGCAATGCAAATTCTGCATTTGGGGAGGGAATTCATGATTTTAGCTGCTGTTTTTGATTCATGTTTATATGCTTTCTAGTAGTTAGTAATAAACTCTTTGGGTTTTCTTTGCTATGGTTCTTTTTCAAAGTTATAATTTTTGAACCGGGTATCTTTTTATTTTTTTGTAGTAGCTGGTAGTTAATAAATTAGTTTTGGTGGTAATCTTCTTATTCCCTAGCCAACTCATGATTTGTTTGGTACCAATACAACTTAAACCTTAGCATATGAATTGTTGGGAGTTTTTTTTTCTTTTTCTTTTTTGAAAAAAAAGAGAAAAAAAATTGATTGAAGAAATGGTTTTTTTGTGACTTTAGGTTTGATCTTTGGCTCTTTATCCACTAAATGGTCTTTTAAACTATGTATGACTTCTTGAGTTCATTTGCTTTTATTGGACCTTGAATACATACTCGACTTGTGTGTTGCGTGTTCCATGAGTGGAAAGGTTCTCGTTGTGTTCTCTTGCTTCTTTGGTGGTCTAGGAGTTTCTCTCAGTGCGTATCAAGGTAAAATCTTAGTTTGCACTTAGTTTGAAAAGTGATTTTAGGCTTTTATTAGATCTCTTATACCTTAAATTGTCCATCCTTTGCAGGTTTACCCAAGTCAACCCCCTTGAGACTTTATCTTTTTATTCGGCAACCACATTACAAATTTTTTTCCTTTTGTATTGACCTCTTTTGATGCCCCGACCTTCTTGAGCAGTTGAAGCTACAGTTTAGGCTAAAAGCCTAAGTTTGGGGGAGTTGATGAGAAATATTTTTTGCGAAAGCTAAATGATTGAAGGTGATGACTTTACCATATTGACAAAAGTGTATATACTTCTCCAAAAAGGTATTTGTGAAATAAAAAAGGTTGAGATGGTGTTAAAGTTGATAAATGAGCAAAATGATGAAATTTTGATTAGAAAGTGGTTTGAAGTGTTGAATTGTAGTGCTTAGGAAGATCGTAGTCACTTCTTATCTATATTGATATACTACCTCTAACCAAAAGCCTACATTATATTCCCACAAGTCCTAAACAATTTTGAAATAGGTGCACCTACATTTGTGGAGATTTGCATGAAGAGTAAGCCCATGACACTACTCTTGAGCAGTTGAACATCATTGTGAGAGGAAGAGCTAAATTCTTTCTACTTGTCATCTTAATCTTGTTTTGAAAGACATTGTATGTGTGTGAGATTCTTTTTTTAATGTGAGGTCATATGAAA